TTATCCTATATCAAATAATCCTGATGTAATCTAAGTTGTCACCCTATGCAGATATTTAATTATACCCAAAATGATAAAAAAATCTAAGTCCCAAAATGACCTTGACCCATGACCTTGAAAATCAATAGGGTTCAAGGTCTTGCTATGGAAATCCATTGTACTAAGTTTGGTTGAAATCCATCGAGAGATGTTGATTCACTTGATTGTAGAGTGTTCATAAGGATTTCTGCTGAAAATTTAAGTCCCATAACGACCTTAACCTTTGGCGCATGGCCTTGAAAATCAATAGGGTTCAAGATCTTGCTATGGACATTCATTGTGCCAAGTTTGTTTGAAATCCAACAAAGGATGTTGGTTCTAGGGTGTTAACAAAAAATGTTACGGACGGATAGAGGCGTTCCTATACGTTGGCGAGGGGATACAAAACGAACCCCGAAAAACTGTCAACTATCAAATCAAAACTGATTTTAATAAATTCGATTTTATGTTTTATTATATAATTAAGCCATTATGTCGTGTTCTTAATGCCGTTTTTGACACGTATGATGTAACAACAAGAACCAACCATTCAAATCAAAAGTAAATAATTCAAATAAAAAAAAACAAAAAACCTGTAGAATGGATTTCGATAAAATGTGTTTATGTTCAGGGGCGGATCCAGGATTTTGGAAAGGGGGGGGCGAAGTATGTAAAAATCGCCGAGCGGAGCAAGGGAAAATTTTTTTTTACCTTTTTTTGGCTAAAAAACATAAAATAAGTGTAAAATGCACTTTTTTTATCGGTTCCTGACGTAAGGCATGTATATTTTATAGTTAAAGTGTAAGGGTTGGACATTTTTGATGCCGTATTCTCCCCATTAATTGTCTTTTATAAAATGATTGGATGGATCCAAAGCTATGTACTAATATATTTGATGTGGGACTTGTCAGTAAAAAACTGACATGGAAAATTCTCGTTTGTTGTATGTTTAGTTAGCATAACGTCACGGATTTCTTGTTGTAAACAAGATATACGTCGGGCTATTCAATGAAATTTACAATACGACCGACACGAGTTAAGAAAGACAAACACGCAATTTTTATCCAAATGTTTGGTTGAAATGTTTCACCCAACAAGAGAAGTGAGGGGTTTCAAATCAACCAAAGGCTACGAATGAGTCTGAAATGACAACGAATATATATGAATGACGGTCGACAAACGGACATAAAGGCCACACCCAGCAGGCAGGTTGCAGTCGGGCCTTGAAAAAGTATTCATTTTATCAGTTCAACGAAACAGAAATTCCGGTCAGATATGGGATTTACATGCAAACCCCCGGCCCCAAAAAAATTACGCCCGTTTTTTTATTCATCACGTTCATTTAATGCTAAATAATTCTGTTTCTAATAGCAAAAAAAGTGGACAAGATTATTGTTTTCAATCCAGATACGGCCAGAATTTTTGTTTGAGGCAAAAATCAGGGTCAGAATTTTTTCTCTCAAACATCTCAGAATGCCCTCTCAAATCAAATGGTCCGTACCTTAGACTTTAAATCTATCTAGAGCTTATTGACTGGGGACCATTATTCAGCTATATGTTATTAATAGACTGGGGCGTGTTGGGTTAAACATGTTTTCGTAGGTAAATAATATTGTTGTGGAACTTTTTTTTTCATGAAAGTGTAATAGAGTATTACTTTCTGTTCGGTGGAATTGTGAAATAGAAGTCAATAAATACGTTCTTGCTCAATCCTTTGTCGCTTTGAAGGTGTCATGCTTGTCATCCTCAGCCTAAGCAATGTGTTACTGTAATTTGAATTTCAAAATGACTTAGTGACGTTTTTTCGACGCACTGGTCAACTCTACCGTAGCGAATCACATGATTTTGACATAATCAATAATATATTACAGTAAATACGAGCGAAACATATCTTTATGAGCAAAGAATTGCCGCATAAAAAGTAAATACGCGGAAAATGGCAAAGTTCACGAAGTCTAGTCTGATTAATCATTTTACCAAAAAAACAAGAAAAAAAAGTGCAAGCAAAGGGGGGGGGGCATACGCCCTCTACGCCCCCCTCTTGATCCGCCACTGATGTTGGAAATGATATGATTATTTTCATGATGTTTAAACGGTCACTTATATTAAAAGTCGTGTCAGTTCGAAGTCTAGCGACCATTTTGGAAATTCCGTAAAGCTGTAAGATTTGAAAATTCGAGGATACAAATTTGACACCCATCAGTTCGATGTTGTAATATATTCACATAAATTATAGAAAAGGTATGTCGCCTCAACATAAAAATGTGGCTTTATTAGATTTAATCAAATTTATATTTTTCGTGTCTCCTTGAACCGTTGCTCAAGTTTTTTTTCTTCATGAACATGATAATTTAGTCAAGTTCTGATTTGTGATTGACAATAAACTATACAAACAAAAGTTACTACCCAAATGTGATTTCATTTCCGTTGACTGAAATTGGCATTTGCATTTGACTCGTTCTGCATAATGATGATATTTTGAGAGATATTTTTTTAGTAAAAGTAATAAATCAAAGACATAACATGAAACGTTTGACTTCCACCAATGTTTTGTCAACAATACGCTTATCTTAAATACGTTGAAAAGGTTATTTATTTCTCAGCAAAAATGCGTTTTTGTGTGTATAGTGTGGTCGCCTTGAAAGATTGCCACGCACGATTCTCGTGAAATGATCATGCCATTTCCAATTGTTCATTGGCGCGTAAAATCATTGCGTAAATTACCCGAAATTTTCGGAAAATCGTATGTAGCACAAGTTAAAATACCACCGAAGCTTTTGTTATCGGAATCTAGTTACAGATAAATATGTCTCTGTAGTTCAATGTACGAGTGTTTATTTCATACACACACGGCCATTTCCGCGCATCCGACAAACAGACGCATATGTGACAATTATTCATTCATGCCGGGCACTTTAAGGATTATAATTTAAATGACCTATAGTACCAAACAGAAGTTTTCATTCCCAAATCTGAGGATGAATTTAATATAAAAAGAGGATATAGAGTAGATATTGTAAGGGGCGGATCCAGGATTTTTGAAAGGGGGGGCGTAATTCCATAAAACGCCGGGATTATATACCAAAAGATTTTTGATTTTTGTGAAAAATATGACATAATAATTTTGTTTGGCGATCAAATGGAAAAAAATATATAAAAAGTGTAAAAATTAAAAGTTAAGTAAAAATTGTAAATTTCATTAATAGAAGAAAAAATTGTTATTAACTTAAAGCAACCTCATACAGGCATGCACCAGAAAGTAATCCTCAAATAGTTGATGGTATTCCGTATCTATAAAGAAGAGCTCCCTTCATCTGCCACTGACTGCTACCGATGATCCGAACGAGATTATCTTTACTTGAAAGCATCTGGAAAGACACATATTTCAGATGTCGAAAGTAAAGAGGCTCTCATTTTCTAAAAGGTACTGAAATCTAAAAATAAACTCAGTAACAATCAAAGACCGAGCATACCAAGCCCTTATCAGGCCAAAACTAGAATACTGCTGCACTGTCTGGGACCTTTACACAACAGAGAACATTAACTCCATAGAAAAAGTCCAAAGACGTGCAGCAAGATACGCCGGTATGCTCTAAATACCAATATACTGAAAGTGTAACAAACATGCTTGTAACTTGGATGGAGAATTGTCTCATTGGCACTCATACCACATCTTCCTATATCTATTAACACACTTCACTGGCCATCATTACAAGAAAGAAGACTTAAAAGCCGATTAGATATGTTCCGTAGAATTACCAACAACAAAATTGCCATACCATATACTGACATACTAATTAAAAGCAAATCAAACACCAGGACTAACCACGAACAAACATACCGACAAATTCGATGCAGCAAAGACAGTTTCAAATTTTCTTTTTTCTGCCAAACTATTAAAGACTGAAACAAATTACCTGAACCAATAGCCTGCAGCACCACTACTGAGTTCTTCAGGGAGAACTCACCAGAGAAATTCTCCTTGACACTTACAAATACCTACATGTTTAATCTGTACTTTGTTTTCATCTTATACCAAAAATAAAAAATAAAAATGGAAAAATATTACTAACATATATATATAAAAAATTGAAAACTATTATGAAATTAGAAACTTGAAATAGATTTTTAATTATTAACAATACTGTTAAACCAGGAATGCGCCAGAAAGTAATCATCAACCAGTTGATGTTCTTCTGTATATGAAGAAGAAAGAAGAAGAAATTATTTGCGAACTGTACTTTGAAGAATTGCAGTGTAAGGCGTGTTGATGAAATTTAAATACGTTTGACGACGGAAACTTTCCCATAGGATACCGGGCCGCTGATTAGTTTGCAATAATTAAAAACATTTGACAGTGACAAATATGTAACATGCATACTTTTTAAGATTATGAATAAAAAAGGTTTATATAAACAATAAATATTAGTTTAAACAGCCAAACAAAAATGCTGTCATTCGTTTAGGTCAAGGATTTGTGTAGTGAGATTTAACTTTTAAAACTATTCAACTATCTAATTTAACTACCTCTAAGGAATATCAGAGACATATATACACGGTCTCTGGGAATATCCAGTGCATGGTAGGTAACCTATTTTGCATGTTGTTGTCATATCTTTTAGAAAAAAAATCTTAACGAGAATATTATGCCCCACATTGAACAACAGTTACATGAATAATCCATGTCTTATTTTAAAAAAAGAGGTACAAAATCGGATGCATCTTTATCTCAAAACAATTATCAGATTGTTCAAACCTACCTGGCATTTAGGTTCACGATAGCATTTCTCTTTGTTTTAAAGAAAGCAACTGGTTCATATGTTATATTCGTGTGAATTACTTATCAGTTCTGGCCAAGTTTGAAACTGCACAATTTGCATAATATTTGCGGAAAAATAGATTTCATCACCAGCCAATCAGATTTAAAGGAACAAGTACACCCCTTGTTTTTCCCACAGCTAATGCGTTACTTCCCTTGTTACATTGTATTTGGTTTCCTGTAAAAAACCTATGTAAACGACAAAAAAATCAGCACACATAAAGCAATGTAGGTAACTAATTATGAAGAGGAGGAATTGAAGCAGCCAAGGTAATTTAAAATTTCATACCAGATTATGTCCCTGTTGCATTAGCGAATATTGATTAAGCAGCGGAGACACATGATACATTATACAATGAACGTTTATCTGCTCGGCTAGGAAGGTGGAACCACTTACCCCCCCCAAAAACTATATCCAGTATAAATTTTTATTTTTGAAAGAAAATATGTAGAAGTTCGAATAATTGGATTTCCTTTACCTGGGTGATCGCGATACTGTACAATACTTGAATATAATTGTGTTCCAGTGTTGTAAACATTTAAAAAAAAAAACGACTGCAACTACTGGTATACCAGTATGATTTCCAGTATTGTATACAATACTAATCAGATATTTCCTCAGCTGTGCAATACTGGACATTATGATGAATCAAGGTAGTATGGGTGTCTTTCGCCATCTTGGACTGTAAAATAGCAGAACACAATAGATCTTAGCCTTAGGCCAAAAAAAATAATTTATATGTCTGTTTACGGTTACCGGACCTGCCCTGCTTTTGAGCGCTGACCCTAAGTCATTTTATTTCCGTCGTAAAGTGAAGAAATTAATTGAACTTGTGTCAAAAGCGAAGTTAGAGTTGCCAATAAAAGAAATCAATTGCCTGATACATCCTGATAGATATAAGAAGATGTGTGGTATGAGTGCCAATGAGACAACTCTCCATCCAAGTCACAATTTGTAAAAGTAAACCATTATAGGTCAAACACGGAGCCTTGGCTCACAACGAACAGCAAGCTATAAAGGGCCCCAAAAAGGACTAGTGTAAAACCATTCAAACAGGAAAACCAACGGTCTAATCTATATAAAAAACGAGAAACACGAAACACTTATTAACCACATCAACAAACAACAACCACTGAACATCAGGTTCCTGACTTAGGACAGGTGCAAACAAATGCAGCGGGTTTAAACGTTTTTAATACGTATAATAGGCGCCAACCTTCACCCTACCTGAAACAATAGCGTAACATCACAACATAGAAAGACACACTATAAAATATCAATTGAAATGGCTTAACTACATTGTAAATCAAAAGACATATTAACAAAAACAAGTGAACATACACTGAACGATGTTCACAATTGTGAATATGACAGCTGTTTTAAGGAAATTCACGACTGTGTGATGAAATAAACACTTTGCCGCCATTTTGTTCCAATCAATAACAAAGGGAAATAATCCAATCATTAAAAATATGGGTAAACTTGCCCCACAGACAACTCGGACCACGGCAAGACAGACCGCACGACTCATAATCATGTCGCAAAAAACAAAATAAAATGGAAATACCGACCTCCCTACCCTATTTTTTTCAATGATGTAACTTTAAACAGACATATTTTTTTTTTGGCCTTATCACCATGATCACTATTTAGGAATCTGCGACACGAACTATTGACGTCATACAGCAATCACCTTTCCTTTGTGGCGTCAGATATTTGCTTTTAGGATGTCAAAATTTTACAGGAACCTTTGTGATGTCCAGTAATTGCGGACAATTAGCGATAAGGTGTATGGGATTTCAATCAAGTCAGCAAAATTCTATGCAGGAATGCAATTGACTAATGACAATTTATATTTAAATGAACAAATAGGCCACTTCACGGTTATTTCAGCCATATTGAATAGGGAGCAGATTTTTTTGATAGAGGTGGAAATGGAATGAAAGTATGGGAAATCCTATTCATGTTTTCAAGCAACTGGTCTGTTTTAATGTCATAATGATGTTTTCCCGTATTTTCCAAACCATTTTTACCTCCTTTACGAAAATCTGCCCCCTATTCAACATGGCTGCACTAACCTTGAAGGGGCCTATTTATTTGATTTTATTCTTATAATTACATGTACTAATATTTTTACAAAAGATGAAAAGTAGATTATTTTGGTTGAATTCAATTTTTAAAAATCTATTTAGCATATAAAGGGGAGATACATGTACATTTGTAACTCAGAAATAGTACGTATAATTTACAAAATGTATGGAGGAATTTACCCAAAAAATTTCTATTTTTTCATGTTTACATGTATGTCTTAGCAGAAAAACTTTCTGTGACCCATTTTTCTCCCCCATGTAATGCGTCGCCGGGGACATGGAAATACCAGGCTACCGTCCATCTGGGCGTCTGTCCGTCTGGTCTTGTTAGGGCTCTCACATGTATAATTCTTGCCAGATTTTTATGAAACTTATATCATAGGTTTATATCAAAAATGTCTTGGACGAGTTTGAAAATCAGTGCCGATCAATTATTTTTAAAAGAGTTATGCCCCTTGAACACATTAATTTTATGGAAAATTGCATCGTTAGCGCTCTCGTGTACAATTCTTGCCAGATATTAATGAAACTTATATCGTACATGTAGGTTTATATTAGCAATGTCTTGGACAAGTTCGAAAATCAGTGCCCATCAATTATTTTTAAAAGAGTTATGCCCTTGGAAACATTAATTTTATGGAAAATTGCATCGTTAGCACTGTCATGTGTTCAAATCTTGTCAGATTTTTATGAAACTTATACATTTGTATCATAGGTTTATATCAGCAATGTCTTGGACGAGTTCGAAAATCAGTGCTGATCAATTATTTTTAAAAGAGTTATGCCCTTGGAAATATTAATTATATGGAAAATTGCCTTATAAGCCCTCTCAAGTGAACAATTCTTGCCAGATTTTTATGAAATTTATATTATAGGTTTATGTTATCAATGTTCTTGCAGAGTTCAAAAATCAGTGCCGATCAATTATTTTTAAAAGAGTTATGCCCCTTGAAAATATTGATTATATGGAAAATTACAATGTTATCGCTCTCATGTGTTCAAATCTTGCCAGAATTTTATGAAACTTATATCATAGGTTTATATCAGCAATGTCTTTGACACTTTATTTTGTATGTGCTATCTTGCAAGATCCTGGTGGCTGTCAGACAGTTTTCACTTGACCTCGACCTCATTTCAATGATCAGTGAACAAGGTTAAGTTTCCGAGGTCAAGTCCATATTTCATATACTATAACCGATAGGTCTACTATATTTGGTGTATGGAATGATTGTAAGGTGTACATGTCCAACTAACAGGTGTCATCTGACCTTGACCTCATTTTCAAGGTTCATTGGTCAATGTTAAGTTTGTTTCTTACATGTAGAATACCATATGCAATATGTCAACTATATGTGCTGTATGGAATGATTGTAAGGTGTACATGTCTGTCTGGCAGGGTACATCTCACCTTGACCTCATTTTCATGGTTCATTGGTCAATAAAAAAAAATGTATGGAATGATTGTAACATGTACATGTACATATGTATTTCTGGCTTGGTTTATCTGACTTTGACCTCATTTTCTTGGATCATGTTAAGTTTATGTGATACTTGTAGTAAAGCTATATATACATGTATTTAGAACTATCAGTATCAACATCAAATCAATGGTCAGTAAAGCACTGCAGGCGAGACATTTCAGCATGTGCACTCTTGTTAATACATTGTAATAATTATACATGAAATAAAAAGAAGTTAAGAAAAGGTGATCCTTCCCTTTTTTATTCCAAGTCTGGATGTGTTGGCTCATTTGACACATTTCCTTCATTATCAGTGTTCTTCATAAGCTACATCTACCAAATTTGGGTCAGTTTGATTTACTGATAAATCATTCAAAGATAGGAAATACAAAATGTACTGACTTTCTAGGTTAAAAAATCTGTCACTGTGAGTAAGTGTTAGTGATTATCAATAATCTTTTTTCCTCTATACATTGTACACGTACATGTATATTGTATGTACTTACATATATGTATATATGTACCTTGTATTTCCTTGATTGATGATAAAGTATGTTGTTGTTTGTTCAAATGATTTTTTTCCGAATTAAGGCACAAAATATTGCTACTGGAAACCAAACTTTGACCTTGTAAATATTAGACTAAAAAGTTACACAGGTGATAAGGAAGAGAATCAAGCTTTTAATTTATAAATTTTGTAAGGACCAATTCAAAATTCAACTTCCTTCCACATAAATTAATAGATTAATCTTTGTTTTGTCATAAATGATATCTGTCTCTATAGAAACAAATGCATGTAAACTTGATGAAAACCTTACTTTCGTGGTGTAGACTTCTTTGGATATATCAGTCATGATATACTATGGAAAATATGTTTACCCTGCTAACATGGACAAAATGAATTTATTTTGTTGTTAGAAAACAACTACATATAGATGTATATAACATACTTGTTAAAAATACATTGTATAATTGTTCAAAATCCATGATACACATTATTTCATTGCTTTCTTCCATCACATCTTAATTTCAATATTGAATGTTTAAAATAAAATTTAAAAACATACATGTTTAGAAAGTTAAAAGGAACTGGGGAGTAATTCAGACTTTCCATTCCCTTTCTTATACCTCCAGATGAAAGGAAAAACTTTGTTTTTGAAGAATCATTTTTGCAAGATCATCTCATTAAACATATACTCTGATAATGTACATGTACATGTATATGTGGCTTCTGGTGATGAGTCAAATGTTCCCCATGTTGTACTTTTCTTCCCAACTTTGTTCTTGTTTTCTTAAATTTTCAGTAGAAAGTTTTTCAAGCATACATGTATTTGAGCAAAGAGCAAACTGAATAGTAAATTTGTAAGGTACATGTACATGAAGGTTCTGTTAAGTGAATGGACCGTGATGCAGAGCCCAAAATTTTAACTGCCAGTCCAAAAAGAAGACCATTTATTACTAGGGCTGTGGATATGTTGACATTTTTGGCAGACAATAGATCTATGTATACAACATAATACATGTAATATACATGTAATACAGACAACAATTTAATTATTAATGCACCATATCCCTCCTCTTAAAAAAAATCCATATTTGCATTTAGGAGTAAGAGCAAAGACAGCCATGATATAGCCATTAGTGCTAAAAGTGAAGTTAATCCCCAACAATCAATTTATCTTCAGGAACATCTTGTTACTATGATAGAGATATTTTATGTTTGTGTGACTTATCACAAGGTGTTTGTGTGACTTATCACAAGGTGTTTGTGTGACTTATCACAAGGTGTTTGTGTGACTTATTACAAGGTGTTTGTGTGACTTATCACAAGGTGTTTGTGTGACTTATCACAAGGTGTTTGTGTGGCTTATCACAAGGTGTTTGTATGACTTATCACATTTCTGTTCTACATGTTCTTACTTTTGTTCCACTTTTATACGCCCTTTATGGGACTATTATGGTATACTGTTGTCCGTCTGTCGTCAACATGTCGGATAATAATTCAAAAACCAATTAACCAGTTTTCATGAAAGTTTGGTGAATTGTTCATATCTATTGAGGTTAGCTCCCATTGGATTTTTATAAATTTTAGATTTTATGTTTCCGAGTTATTGGATTTTACATGTATTTATAAAAAAAGGGAGGATTTTCCAGTTTTCGGACAATAACTCAAAAATGCATTAACCAATTTTCATTAAACTTTAGTAAATTGTTAAAAACTATTGATGTAAGCTCCTTTTAGAGTTTTATAAATTTAAGATTTTATGTTTTTGAGTTATTGGTTTTTATTTATAAAAAAGGGGGGATTTTCCAGTTTTTGGACAATAACTCAAAAATGCTTTAAGCAGTTTTTATGAAACTTTGATGACTGGTTTATATCTATTAAAATAAGCTCCCTTTAGTTTTTTTTATTAATTTCTGATATGCCATTGAGGAGTAATGGAACTTTATTCTTTGAAAAAGCAACGGATGTATAATGCGCTCATGATCATGGCACAGCTCTTTATTAATTTTGAGGAAGGATCATTTGCATTGTATATCCCTAGTTTTATCACACTTCCTTATGCTTAGATGGCTCATAGAGTTCCTTCTTTTTGATTGTTTAAGTTCCAAGTAGACTGTGCTACACATTTTCAGTCTAGTATTGACAATTATTTACTTAGGACCTAAAGTTCTTATTCAGCCCACTCCCTGGCCTCTTTTCAATGGTTTAAGTCCCAAGTAGACTGTGCTATACATTTTCAGTCTAGTGTTGACAATTAAGAACCTAAAGCTCTTATTCAGCTCACTCCCTCATTTTGATGGTTTAAGAGTGCAAAGTATCTTATTGCTACACATTTTCAATCTAATAATATTATGGGTACAGTGATTTTTTTTTAAGTCCCCCTACCGACGAAGTCAAAAGGGACTTTAGGTTTTCACTCCGTCCATCTGTCTGTCTGTTCATCCATCAGTCCGGCAAATCAGTTTTCCACACTTTTTATACGACCACAAAAGTATATTGATATGACGTCAGCGTCGCCGTTGTCCGAAGACACATTGGTTTTCTCACTCTAACTTTAGTTTAAGTGGATGGATCTCTATGAAATTTTACCATAAGGTTCAATACCACAAAAGGAAGGTTGGGATTGATTTTGGGGGTTATGGTACCAACAGTTCAGGAATTAAGGGCCAAAAATAAGCATTTTTGTAACTTCAAGACATAACTTGTGTGTTAGTGTATGGATCTCTCTGACATTGTACCACAAGGTTCCATATCACACAGGGAATGCATGGATTGATTTTGGGAGTAATGGCCTCAAAATATTAGGAATTAGGGGCCTAAAAAGGGGTTAAAAACAAGCATTTTTCTAGTTTCATGACAATAACTTGTGTGTAAGTATATGGATCTTTCTGAAATTGTACTACAAGGTTCCATATCACAAAGGGAAAGCTGGAATTGAGTCTGGGGGTAATTGCCCAAAATGTTTAGGAATAAGGGGCCAAAAATAAGCATTTTTCTAGTTTACAGACAATAACTTGTGTTCAGGTGTATGGATCTCTCTGAAATTGTACTGCAAGGTACCATACATTTGTACTACAAAGGGAAGGCTGGGATTGATTTTGGGGGTAATTGCTTCAAAGTTTTAGGAATTAGGGACCAAAAAAGGGGCAAAAAACAAGCATTTTTCTAGTTTCAGGACAATAACTTGTGTGTAAGTGTATGGATCTTTATGAAATTGTACTACAAGGTTCCATATCACAAAGGGAAAGCTGGGTTTGAGTTTGGGGGTAATTGCCCTAAACGTTTAGGAATTAGGGGCCAAAAAGGGGCCAAATAACAAGCATTTTTCTAGTTTCCAGACAATAACTTGTGTTCAAGTGTATGGATCTCTCTGAAATTGTACTGGTACCATACCACAAAGGGAAGGCTGGGATTGAGTTTGGGGGTGATGAATGATAAGGGGGTTCAAAAAATTTGGGGGGATTTTTTTTTCTTTAAAATTTTCCATTTTAAATTGGTTATTTCTGATTTATATATAAAAGCAAATAATAATGATATGGTTTGAACCGGTAAATTAAAAAATTTTAAGTTCTTAGACCACATTCATTCTGTGTCAGAAACCTATGCTGTGTCAAATATTTAATTACAATCTAAATTCAGTGCTGTATCAAGCTTGAATGTTGTGTCCATACTTGCCCCAACTGTTCAGGGTTCGACCTCTGCAGTAGTATCAAGCTGCACCCAGCTGAGCATTTTATTTTCTTCATGCTTGAAGATATTAATTTGATATTTGGTATATTGTTTTATCATGACAAGTTACAGATCAAGTTTGAATTTTGTTCTGGTTAGATGATTTTGTGCAGAGTTATGGTCCTCGGATTTAGAAAATTCACTCAAATAATCAGTTTTCCACACTTTTTTTAGTTATGCTTGAAAAAATATTGATTTGATAATTGGTATATAGTTTTATCATGACAAGTTACTGATCAAATTCGAATTTTGTTCCAGTCTGATGATTTTGTGAAGAGTTATGGTCCTTGGACCTAGAAAATTCACTCAAATAATCAGTTTTCCTCCCTTTTTTTCATCATGCTTAAAGATATTGATTTGATGATTGGTATATAGTTTTATAATGAAAAGTTACAGATCAATTTCGAATTTTGTTCTGGTCCGATGATTTGTGCAGAGTTATGGTCCTGGATTTAGAAAATTCATTCAAATAATCAGTTTTCCACACTTTTTTTCGTTATGCTTGAAGATATTGATTTTATAATTGGTATATACAGTGTATCTTGAATATTTTAATAGATAGAGATAAACTGTAAACAGCAAAATTGTTCAGCAAAGTAAGATCTACAAATAAGTCAACATGACTAAAATTGTCAATTGACCCCTTAAAGAGTTCTTGCCCTTTAAAGTCAATTTTTCACAATTTTTCGTAAATTTTTGTAATCTTCTCCTCTAAAACTACTGTGGCAAATTAAACCAAACTTGGCATAAATCATCCTTAGGGTATCTAGTTTTAAAAATATATCCGATGACCCCGCCCATCAACCAAGAAGGCCACCATGGCTAAAAATAGAACATGGGGTAAAATGCAGTCTTTGGCATATACATGTATCTCTGAAACTAAAGCATTTAGATCAAATCTGAGGAGCTGTAAAAAATGTTCATGAGGTCAAGATCTATCTGCCCTGAAATTTTCAGATGCATTAGACAACCTGTTGTTGGGTTGCTGCCCCTGAATTGGTAATTTTACGGAAATTTTGCAGTTTTTATACGACCGCAAAAAAAATTTTGTGGTCGTATATTGGTATGACGTTGGCGTCGTCGTCGTCGTCTCCGGCGTCGTCCGAAGATACATTGGTTTTCGCACTCTAACTTTAGTTTAAGTGAATGGATCTCTATGAAATTTTACCACAAGGTTCAATACCACAATAGGAAGGTAGGGATTGATTTTGGGGGTTATGGTACCAACAGTAAAGGAATTAGGGGCCAAAAAGGGGACAAAAATAAGCATTTTTGTAACTTCCAGCTATAACTTGTGTGTTAGTGTATGGATCTCTCTGACATTGTACCACAAGGTTCCATATCACAAAAGGAATGCTGGGATTGATATTGGGGGTAATTGCCTCAAAATTATAGGAATTAGGGGCCAAAAAAGGGGTTAAAAACAAGCATTTTTCTAGTTTCATGACAATAACTTGTGTGTAAGTGTATGGATCTTTCAGAAATTGTACTACAAGGTTCCATATCACAAAGGGAAAGCTGAAATTGAGTTTGGGGGTAATTGCCAAAACGTTTAGGAATTGGGGGCAAAAAAGGGGGCCAAAAATAAGCATTTTTCTAGTTTCCAGACAATAACTTGTGTTCAAGTGTATGGATCTCTCTGAAATTGTACTGCAAGGTACCATACCACAAAGGGAAGGCTGGGATTGATGATGGGGGTAATTGCCTCAATATTTTAGGAATTAGGGGCCAAAAATAAGCATTTTTCTAGTTTCCAGACAATAACTTGTGTGTAAGTGTATGGATCTTTCTGAAATTGTACTACAAGGTTCCATATCACAAAGGGAAAGCTGGGTTTGAGTTTGGGGGTAATTGCCCTAAACGTTTAGGAATTTGGGGCCAAAAAGGGGCCAAAAAACACATTTTTCTTGTTTCCAGACAATAACTTGTGTTCAAGTGTATGGATCTCTCTGAAATTGTACTGCAAGGTACCATACCACAAAGGGAAGGCTGGGATTGAGATTGGGGGTGATGAATCATAAGGGGGTTCAAAAAATTTGGGGGGGGGGATTTTTTTTTTTTCCTTTTTTTTCTTTTTTTCCTTTTTTTTCTTTTAAAATTTTCCATTTTAAGTTGGTTATTTCTGATTTATATTTAAAAGCAAATAATAATGATATGGTAGGAGATACACACCAAACAGGATGTGTAAATTATTATATAATAAGTATTGTGCAATAGCAAGAAATTTTCAATTGCACAGTATTGCACAATAGCAAGAAATCTTCAATTGCACAGTATTGCGCAATAGCAAGAAATCTTCAATTGCACAGTGTTGCGCAATAGCAAGAAATATCCAATAGCACAATATTGCGCAATAGCAAGATATTGTCAATTGTACAGTATTGCGCAATAGCAAGAAATATTTAATTGCACAGTATTGTGCAAAAGAAGATACTTCGTATAAATTGCTTATTTCTTGACCAATTTCAATGGGGTTTTATTCTTGAATTCTTGGGGTTCTTTAATATGCTGAATCTAACCGTGTATTTAGTTTTTGGATTTTGGGCCCCGTTTTTAAATTGGTCCACATTGAGGTCCAAAGGGTCCAAATTAAACTTTGTTTGATTTCATCAAAAATTGAATTATTGGGGTTCTTTGATATGCCGAATCTAACCGTGTATTTAGATTCTTAATTTTTGGTTCCGTTTTCAAATTGGTCTACATTATGGTCCAAAGGGTCCAAAATTAAACTTAGTTTGATTTTAACAAAAATTGAATTCTTAGGGTTCTTTGATATGCTGAATCTAAACATGTATTTAGATTTTTGATTATGGGCCCAGTTTTCAAGTTGGTCCAAATCGGGGTCCAAAATTAAACTTTGTTTGATTTCAACAAAAAATGAATATATGGGGTTCTTTGATATGCTGAATATAACCATGTATTTAGATTTTTGATTTTTGGGCCCCGTTATCAACTTTGTCCACATTGAGGTCAAAAGGGTCCAAAATTAAACTTTGTTTGATTTCATCAAAAATTGAATTCTTGGGGTTCTTTGATATGCTGAATCTAACCATGTATTTAGATTTTGGATATTGGACCATAATAGGTGAATGTCCAATTAAAATTTTTAAGTTCTTAGACCACATTCATTCTGTGTCAGAAACCTATGCTGTGTCAAATATTTAATCACAATCCAAATGCAAAGCTGTATCAAGCTTGAATGTTGTGTCCATACTTGCCCCAACTGTTCAGGGTTCGACCTCTGCGGTCGTATCAGGCTGCGCCCTGCGGAGCATTTTTTTGGTTATTTTCTTGAATATTATAATAGATAGAGATAAACTGTAAACAGCAAAATCGTTCAACAAAGTAAGATCTACAAATAAGTTCACATGACCAAAATTTTCAATTGACCCCATAAGGAGTTATTGCCCTTTAAAGTCAATTTTTCACAATTTTTCGTAAATTTTTGTTATCTTTTACAAAAATCTTCTCCTCTAGATCTGAAACTACTGGGCCAAATTAAACCAAACTTGGCATTAATCATCCTCAGGGTATTTAGTTCAAAAACGTATCCTATGACCCCGCCTATCAACCAACATGGCTAAAAATAGAACATAGGGGTAAAATGCAAGTTTTGTCTATTATTTTGTGAACCATTATATAGAGAAAATCTGAAAGGAGCAAAAATGTTCAAAATGATGAGCTCTGCCAATTGTCCATATATGTCAAAACTGTCAGACAAATTCTTACAGGATTTATTGCCCATAAATGACAAATTTTACCTTTTTTTTCATTTTTGCCTTTTATTATGAAAACTATGATATTTAGAGAGAAACATTTTTTTTCCCGTTATGCCTTACATAATTTAAATTATAATAGATAAATAGACACCTTGAATCACAAAAATG